TGTCGGAGGCCATTAATGCGTACCAATAGTCGACGGACTTGGATCGAAACTTGTTCAGCGTTGAACATGTGTTACGCACCGCGACGAGAATTTCACTCGACAAACACTCCTTGTGATAATGTGCCATCGATCGGATATCCGACGGGTAGCATCGGTTGAACGAGAGAACATACCGCGCGCAAATTCTCCAGGTCGAAGATTAGCGCGTAATTTAATCTGCGAATTTCATTAAGAATTAATCAATATTGCCTTCTACATATATAATTTGCTCGATCTTAAAAATGACACAAATTTATGTCAATCAATGCGTGTTCAGTTATAGATACGGTGAACGTGGATGTAATGCGCGTTTCCCACAGCAATGAATCTGTGGACGTGGTCGTCGCATCTCGATGTGGTTGGTGCGAACGATGCACCAGCGACGATCATCATTGGCACCAGCACCAGCACCAGCCTCAGTATCAGCATCAGCATCGGATCAGCGCATCGATGAGCAATCTGCAAACGGTTTGTTCGTGTGACTGTAAGGTCGCTGTATCGGAAACTCGGAAACTCGGAGGTCAGTGGTGCGACGGGCCGTCAGATGACGATCGGACGACATGGCGACTACCAGACCCGGAGAAGCTATCGAAGAGTCATGGCCGCGGAGATGACAGCGCAGGTAAAGGCTTCACGCGGTCACTCGGAAGGTACGCGAGGAAACTGAAATCGCAGCTGTTGCGAGCCGCCAACGCCACTGCCGGAAGGGATTCGTTTCGCAGCCTTTCTGCACTGCCGAGCACTGATATTGACGGCCAGACGGCAACTGCCAATCGGTTGCCGGTGCCAGTGCCGGTGCCCGTGCCGGTGCCCGTGGCCGTGGCCGTGCCTATGGCCGTGCCCATGGCCGTTGCGCAGCCCGCAGCACCAACGACGGCGACTGCACAGCCAGCGATATTATACCAGCCAGTGAGGGTACCGGCGAGTAGTGCCTCGTCGCCAAACGGACATGAAGCGATGACCTTTGACCATGCTGACCGTCCTCAGCGACCTGCCGCGGACATCATTGGCGGCAAGACGAAGATCACATGTCGCGCGACGGCCGGCATGACCACCGTGCAACGTTTGAAGTGCTGGAAAGCAAGACTTCCCATGATGCGCAAACAACGGCCGGACAAAAAAGGTCAGTTTTTCAGCGCCCAGCAAGAAACCGCCTCCTCAACCACTTGTCGCGCATCGACCACCACTTGCAGCGCCGTCGCAGTAGGTACGGTTGTTTTCAGCTTTCAAGAAATTCTCTGATCCTGTTTAATTGCAACAGCATCAGCCGTAAAGCTGTTCCTCTTGCAGCACTCGGTTTTATGAGTTGTTGCAAATAAGTACGTTCACAAATCAAATACTGCCTATTTCCTTAATTCAGCGCAAGCAGCGAGGACGCTGCTGTTACCATCGTCATCTATGACCAGCAGAGCTTGAGCAGTACAGCAGCCCAGATTTATGTTGTATAGCCATTAAGACTGGTACTTTAGATTAATATTGAACGATTTTCATTGCGACGGTGAAAGTCATACTTTTCGTCTGCCTCATCTAAGTGTTTCTGACTTTTGTTGTGTCGTCCAGCTGTTTGTCAAACTCCCGTACTGCAAAAGTTTTGAACACATGTCCTCGTTCCTGGCCGTGGTGTCAAATCAAGTAAGACCTCAGACGCTACTTTCCTCTAATAAGCTCTCAGACCACTGGTCATTATTCACTGGTTCGTGTCCCGGTCGTACAATCGTACTTTATGTGTACTTTGTAAACGGCGTTGTTAAAAACTGTCGATATTAGCTTCATGACGTTTCAGCACAGCATATGTTACCAGACTACACCTGATCACACTCGAATATGGTTTCTTTCAAAATGACCTTCATAACAGTGCTTACAATTCGATCTTTGCATATTTCATACAGCTCGCTGAAATTCGCTGGTACCAGTCTAGTGTCTGGTTCAGCGGAGCGGTGCCATTTTATCCAACGCTGTTCCGAGATACTTGTTATTTGCGGTGCACCTGTTCTAACGTGGTACTATTCCAGTAGCAAGAGCATTGTAATTTTCGAAACTGTTTATCAAGCAAAATCAAAATGGCTTTAATTTCAAGTGGCTCGAACATTTTCACGCCATAGTTTAGTCATCGAAGCAACGTAGATATGTTTTAGAAATAATTTAACTGTTCTAGATATATGATAATCACGATATAAACACGATAATTCATAATTTGAAATCGTCGTACAAATTTCTATACTGACTTTCCAGACTATTAAGCAGGAAACTTCTAGTTAAGCTGGTGAAATTCTGTAATTTATGTTCTACTTCACTTTAGATCTACTATTTCACTTTAAAAAAGTGTCATGTTATTTCTGATAATTAAATACTATTATTTTCATACGATCATATATATATACAAATTCTCATAAGCAAGGAATTTGTGATCCATTGCTTCAGATCGGGGTTGCTCAGTCGGTAAAGCGTCGAATTCGGAACCAATAGGCCCGAGTTCAAGCCCATTTTTTGGTTACTCGCCCTTCGTCTTACCGAGATTGATAAATAAGTATTGCTCTGTTGGAAAGGAGGCTACACGTTCAGGAGGCTACACGCTACGCTTGCAATGGGCTCTAGATTCTGCCTTTAAAAAGTAAGGCCACTCCTCGCTGATCGCATAGAAACGGAGCACCGCACCATCAAATTCATGAAAACAAAGTCATCAGAATGGTCCAATCGGTAAAATGGAAGAAGACCGACACTTGAACGTTAAGTTGGAATTCTTTCAATGCAGACACAACGAAAAACGGCCAGTCTTTATCGATCTGTGTTTGTGAGAATAGATATGTAGGATATCCTACTTACTTCTTAAAAAATGGTCTTAGAATTTGTAGAAATTCGGCTAACAATGAGTTGAACAAAATCCATCATGATGCAGGAAATAATCATTTGCTCAAAGGCTGAAAAAATGCAGTTCTGATAAATTCTTTAAGTATTATTTTTAACACCGATTCCTTTATAACAGTTCCGGTTTTTTTCTTCGATGTTATGAATTTTTGATTTATCTATATTTGAGTACACGGAGTTCTACTGTACAAAAGTATGATTGTCATTGGCAATGCTAATGGCTGCTCCAAGTTCTTCCTCTGATGGAAACTTCCTGGAAAATTACAGACGATGCAGGATCACTTTCGGAGTCCAAGGCACGCCCCTTTATGCCATGCTGGATGCTACGCTGTTGATTGGGTTATTCCTGTGACCAGCAGATTGGTGATGGGCTTATGTTATCTCTTCGTTTGGATGGAAAATGCAAGCCTCGCCTAAATGCGTGGCTATGTCGTGAAACATCTTACCGTTTATTGCCCATACTAGCAACTATACGTGATGCATTCGAATGAGCAAAACTTCGAAGACTGTCTTCAAATGGTTCTCTTGATCAAACCTTGAACTGTGAGTCGTTCCTACATGCAATATCAAAAAAGAGGTTTTTCGACCTTATGTGTTGTTGACCGCCACGAAGGAAGAACTATTGCAATCCTATAACAGATCTTCGGTGACTATCAATCACTAAATCTAAAATCTGTCTTACTTATCTAGGCAACAATTCGTAAGTGGAAATTCATGTTAGTCTAATTAAAATTTATTTCTCTGTGCGTTATTTATTAATGCGTACTGCGCACTTCTCTTTACTTCAGAGTGCGTAAGTAAGCAAGTAACAAACAGTTTCAAAACTTGACCAGTTGCCGTTTATTTCATCATCACTCTACACAATGACTGTTTGTTTAAAGTTTAATTAAGAACAATTATTTCCAAATAGTTGCGCTCAATCTTAGCTGCGTAGTTTTTTCAGCATCATTTGCGAGAAACAGAAATATTGCTATTGCTGTCAGCGGTTTTTATCTTTTAGTATCAGTGACGCTCAGCTAGTCATCGATCGTATATGCCAGGAGTGTCGCGTTTAACTCATTGACGTAACAGATATTTTTTTATTAGATGCATCTTCCCTTGACCAAGGATTCATCCACTACGCTTCATAGCAATAAGGTGAAAAAGAAGTAACAAGCCATACGAATGTCTGAACCATTTTGATGTCTGATATTTGCACATCAGGGCTCATGGAACTTGTCTTACTATTCGACGTGTTCCTTGGTAACTGCTGCCCTGAACGGTGGATCGGGAATCGTAAGTGTTTGACTGTCGTCATCTGCTTGAATCCCTTGAATCTGGAATGCTATGCGTTCGAATCCGAATCCTCCGTTCTTGGTTGTCTGTTACCGATAGGTTTAAATCAAATTTTCATCACATTAGACTCAGCCTCAATACATTAAATTCGATGAGGCATAAACGGGGTCCTTATAATCGATGAATGAAGAAATGGTTAGAAGGCAGAGAAAAGATTTACTACGTGGAGCATTCGGAACTCACTACGATGCTCCTTCTTCAGCACAAAATTAGTAATGGTTGTTGTTTATAAATTATTGATTTATGATGAAGAAGGAACATCGTTGTGAGTTCCAAAAGCTTCGTTTAATAAACAACTTTCCAAGCTTCTAACCGTTTATTCATCCGTTAATACATTAAATTTGCGTCTTAAACTTAGTTGCTTCCTTGTCTCGTTAGTAAGAACGCTTCACGATTGACTGACATGTTTTGTTTAATTGAAGCGCTTGTTCAAGTTTCAGGAAAAACAATATTAATAATCAAGTTTACCAATCATTATTCAGCCAGTCCTAAACCGGTATAAATTTTTTCTGATTTACATATTGCAGAATGTCTTTAAGTAACTTGTTTGCATGATATCTGCGCATTCCTAGTAGTGGAAATATCAAAATTTTAGCAATAGCATGCAGTCGATTAAATTTCCTGTTAGAAAAGTTTCGCTGGATTTAATATTCGTCATTTCTGCGCTGTCTTTCCACTTCATGCCATCACTGCTACGATCGCACTCGCTGCGCCGCGGTATTACAAAC